GATGGTGTTTCAGAATTCACTTGACAGCTGTACATTATCTTCTGAGTGGAGGGAGGCTGTCATCTATCCTATCTACAAAAATGGCGACAGGAGTCTGTCAGCCAATTATAGGCTTGTCAGTCTGAGTAGCGTCGTGGTCAAACTGCTTGAAAAGCTGGTGGGAGATTCGTTGGAATGTCACCTAAATAGATTTAATCAACTCAGTAGTGCAAAACATGGATTCCGGAAGGGGTTTTCGTGTTTGACGAATTTGTTGGTTGCTTGTGAAGCTTGAGCAGAAGCAATGAACAATGGCCACGTAGTGGATGTGCTTTCCGTAGACTTCTCGAAACATTTGAGAAGGCACCTCACTTGAGGCTAGCACAAAAGCTGGGCTCCTAAGGCGTGTCTGGCCGCGCCCTTCACTGGGTATCTGCATTCTTGCAGGGAAGAGAGCAGTGGGCACGTGTGGGTCGCAGCTTATCCTTTAGACAAGCGGTCCTTAGCAGTGTCCCACAGGGCTCGGTCCCTGGACTGATGCAGTTCGCCATCTATGTAAACGATCTCCCTAGAGAGCATGGGGTAGCATCCCTATTGTTTGCTGATGACCTTAAGCTATGGAATGTTGTAAATGTACCTGGGGGTTCTGAGGCCATACAGCATGCCCTGGACAGACTGTGGGACTGGTCTAATTTGTGGCTACTGCCCATAAATTAGGCTGTGTTCCGTCATTTTTATAGGAGCAACTTTCACGCCTTCGAGCTACGTACTCTGTGGGGTCGAACTCCCCATTGACTCCAACCAAGTAGATCTAGGTGTCGTTCACTCCTCTTCTTCGCATTCTGGTGACAACTGGAAGAAGGCCGCAAGTAGGGATTCCAGAAGGTTGTGGTTTATATGCCGTTCTTTCGGGGTCTTAGCGGCCGACATATTTGTGAAGTAGTCCTCAGCTTTCGTCCGGCCCCATCTAAAATACTGCCTCCAGGCTTGCCCGCCCTGCCTTGTTCGGGGCAAATGGAGCTCGGGAGGGTTTTGAGAACAATTACCAAATTGGTCGAGGGGTTATGGGGGCAATCGTACCCCGAGCGTCTACTTAGCTTGGGTATGTATTCATTACACTACCGACGGCTTCGAGGAGACGTAATCCTTACTTACCGTATTTTAACAAGGAAGGTTGGACCGGACTTGAGTTGGCTATTTAGCCCGGCTAGGTTGCCTTATCTTCGCGGTCATCCAATGAAGCGACACAAGCCGCGTTCTGACCGGATCAGGGCGGAAACTCGGTTTTCGCGTAGAGTTATCGAGCGATGGAACTCACTTCCAGAAAGTGTAGCCAGTTAATCTACTGCTAAGGATTGCGAGCGTCAGTTAGACGCTCTTGGGTGGCAACACGAAACCTTTCCCTTTTCCTGACCATATCCATCTTCAAACTTTTGGATCTTATTCTGTCATTCACTGCACTGTTTGGTGTTATCCTGCATTTATGTGACTTGCATTCACTTTTATCTCCCATATTACTTTCTACTTTTTTCTTACTTCAAGTAACGTACACAGCAGGGACTACTAGTTCAGGCAACGTGGGCAGTAACTGGTTGATCAGAGAGTGTTTCGGGTGTTTCGTTTTAGATCTATCAAGACCTAGAACCTTATCATTTCCTGGCTCAACGATTTGCTCAAGAAAGAGCACTCATTGGATTTTTTTATTGTTCCAGTCCATTTGAATCTAAATCAGACGGTAGTTAAAGCTCCTGGGGTAGGTCATGGGCAGCATTTGCGAAAAGCAACTGCCCTAGGACCATTGCATGCAGTTGCAGGACATGACTTTGCACTCCGCATGGCACTTGCTGTCACAACGTTATGCTATTATAAATTTTTCGAAGCAAATAATTTTAAGAACATTCAGTACAGACTGATGGAATATCACCATGTTATCGCAACCTTATTCGCAGTCACCTGGACCCTCATTTCGTGGGTTCAACGCAGCTCGGCCTGGATGTTCAAGTGCCTGCCTTTCGCGAACCCCTGCGGAAAGCAGGTTGATCATATTGATAGAAGGCATTCGAAATTAGAGCAAGTTCCAGACGAAGTTTTAAGAAGTTTCCGGACATTGGAAGAATGTAGACTTGACGCCAATCAAATTAAAGAGCTTCCAAAAGTAACACCTGATCGACATATCTAACTTTCAGAACTTTTTTCGTCTCGAACGGATCAGGTACTTAACCTTGAGCGATAATGATATCACTGAAATCCCATCTGGTCTTGGCAATTTCTCACATCTTGTTGAGCTGGACGTCAGTCGAAATGGTAATAGTTCTCTTGTCCTCAAATCTTTTCTGCCTTGTCAGATATTTCTGGCCTCCCAAACAGCATTAGGTTTTGTGACTCTCTGCAAATTGTGGATATCAGCAACAACCCATTACAAAGGTTAGCTTCCCAAACTCATGTTTCGCACTTGGTTCAGTTTTCGCTTAGTTTCCATCACTGTTAGTCCCTCATCGCTTAACCGGATAGCTACATTATCAGTCTTCTGCATTTGATATAGTGCGTTCGTCTATTTGCGCTATCTACTACACCCCCCAACTAGTATCATGTTTAACATCAAATATAAGGTTTGGACGACCGATTTCGGTTTCATAGAATATTTTTCAGTATTTCTGCTTGCGGATAGTTTGCATACTATGATCGGCATGACTTAACATTGGCTGACTTTTCATCGTTCATGGAGTTGTAGAGAGCAGACGGAAAAACCATGTCAGCTCCATCACCCGTTCGTTGGCTGGATTCCACGTGTCGTTGCTAAACTGTGTTCCCCGAGGGATTTTTACCACCAAAACAGCGGAATGCAGGCATGCTCAGCATGTATTTATCTAACCGTTCTTTAAAACATTTCTGTCTGGGTACTTTCTACGCACTCAGGAAGTTTGTTCCACTCATTCACAACCCGTGTGGAAAACGCGACGTCGGGCCAGACATGGTGCCTTCGAAGTTTTCATCATCAATCATCAACAGCAGTACATCAGCCATTTGAACTGATGCTTCACTGCCATACAACCATGAGGACCTATGAAATAAAGAATAAGAGGGAGAGAAGGGGGACTTACCTGAAAACCTTAATGCCCTAAGCAAACATTCAGGGTCAAGGCGCCTACACCTTGTGTTAACAACATACCGTCACAAACAGCTGGCTATCGTGCAAAGATAAGGCGGCATCGGCGAGACAGCTTCCTTGCGGCTTTCACTGCCACGCGTCATAATCAGCCATTACTCAGCACCAAACACAGTTTAAACAGACAATCCGATTAGGAGACGGCAGCAGACGCGCCACTGGTGTCGGTTGCGAGCCATGTCCTGTAAAGTCTCGAGCCAAGCACAAGGTGAGTCACGTGGACTCCAACCTGGAAGGCGAGGCGGACCAACGGCACCCAGTTTGGTCGTCAGTGACTTCATTTCACGCTGCCAAGTCAACTTCTGTCCACCTCGAGCCTTGCGCCATCCGACACCTGGTAGACTGAACAAGGCCCTCCTAGGTAAGCGGTGACCAGGCATGCGTAGCACGTGCCCGAGCCAACGTAACTTATTCAGTGCTATCTGTTGTTCTAGGGAGCTAGCATGATCATCACCACCTAGTACTCGCCTACGAACATCATCGTTGCGAACACGCTGGTACCATCCGACACCAGCAATGCTTCGCAAACAACGATGATCAAAGACTTGAAGGCGCCTCAGATCTTCAGACCGAAGGGGCCAAGTTTCACTACCATAGAGCAGAACGGCCCTCACCGTGGCCTTGTATACACGGTCTTTCAGACGGAGGGAAACTCCCTTCTGTCGCCAAAGATGACGCAGGTTCAAAAAGGCAGCTCTGGCCTTTGCAATGCGTGAGCTAACGTCAGTTTCTATGCGCCCATCATTGCTGATGCAGCTGCCAAGATAAGTGAATTGATCAACAACCTCGAGTTCCTCGTCAGCAAGCGTCAAGGGGTCATCGAGTGGCTGGTGGTCCTGCAGCAACACTTTGCACTTTGAAGGTGCGAAGTGCATACCAAATAATGGGACCACTCTGGATAGGCTATTCAGGGTTGATTGTGCCGCCTCAACATTGTCGAAAAGCAAGACGATATCGTCCGCATAATCTAGATCAACTAACCGTTCACCAGACAGCACTTCAACACCTACATCGTGAGATTCCGCAAGGGAACACTCCATGATAGAATCCACGACGAAATTGAACAAAAATGGGGAAATCGGGCATCCCTGTCGAACGCCACTTGTAGTCGAAAAGCTATCCGATAGGGCACCATAGACCCTGACGCGGCCTCTAGTGTTCGAGTATAGAGCACGAAGGATGTTCACATATTTCGTGGGAACACCTTTCCGCGCAAGTATTTCGAACAGAATCGATCGATCGACTGAATCGAACGCACTCTTGAAATCGAGGAACACAGCTATTGTCGGTCTGCGGTATGCGTGGCGCTGCTCTAGCACCTGCCGCAAAGTAAATATATGGTCTATACAGCCACGTCCTGGGCGAAAACCGGCCTGCTCTTCTCTAATCCGAGATTCCCGATCTGCAGTGAGGCGACGAACGATAATCGAGGCCAGTAATTTTGTCACAACTGGCGTTAGGCTAATACCCCTGTGGTTCGCACAGTCTGTGCGACTGCCCTTCTTGTATATTGCCACTATAATCGATTCGCTCCAATTAGCCGGCACACTCTTCGTTCCAGATACGTTCGAATAGGGAGGTCAGTGCTTTGCAGAGGACCTCACCACCATCCTTAAATAGTGCAGGTGGTAGGGAATCCGGGCCAGCGGCACGAAAACGATTGAGGGCTGTGATCGCGTTTCGGACTTCGGCCTCCGACGGAGGCTCTAAACTAACCGTCCATGGCTCGTCCTGCATCACCTGAGTAGGAAGAGGTCCGGGAGCAGGGGGCCAGCTGAACTGATGTTCAAAGTGCTCAGCCCAACGAGCCATACGGCGCTCCTTATTGTGTATCAGCGCACCCGCGTTGTCCCTGATTGTCTCACTGACGCCTGGTTTTCTCGGACCAGTGGTGCGCATTAGCTGGAAGAGCTTCCGGTAATTGCCTACTGCTCCTGCCTCCTCCATTTCTTGAGCCCGACTGGTCCACCAGGCTTCCTTGTCAGCACGTAGGCTCCGTTTTAGTTCACGCCTAATAGCCCGTCTGGTCACATTGTGTTGAGAACCAGCCGGGAGGTGCCTTCTAGCTTCCAAAAGGTTCACGGACCTCTCGGATATCCAGTGACTGGTGCGGTGACGACTGATAGTGCCACAAGCAGATGCTCCTGCGTCGTGCATAGTGGCCGAGATCTTATTCCACTGAAGTTCAGTATCATTAGGACAAGACAGTGAGAGTTCGCTATGCAGTGCTTCTTGATAGGCTTGCCTGACAGAGGGCTGGGACAATTTCTCTGTTGCCAATCGGGGGAGGCGCTTTGTGCGCCTTCCGGTAAAGTTCATGGAGAAACGACAGCGCACCAAGGCATGGTCAGAGTCGACACAGGTACTCCAGTACGAGCGGCAATCCAGAATGGAACCGCGCCACCTGTAACTTATGGCCATGTGGTCAATTTGGGTCCATCGCTGACCAGCTACAGGTGGACGCCAAGTGGCACTTCGGCGCCCACTGTGTCTAAAAGCAGTGCTAGTAAGAAACAACTGGTGCTCCGCACACAGTTGCAGCAGACGCTCGCCGTTGTCAGTCCGTTCGGAGTTAAGTCCATACTTACCACCCAGCTGAGCTTCTGAAGAGCTCAGACGCCCTACTTGTGCGTTCATATCCCCTGCAAGTACTATAATATCTGAACTAGTAGCACTGCGTAGCAGCGTGTTCAGTTCGTGATAGAAAGTGTCCTTGACTGCATTAGAACTGCAGTCCGTGGGAGCATAAGCAGAAATCACAAACAAACAGCGTTTTGTTTTACTTCGCGAATTCACCTTAGCTGATGTCGTCAAACGGGCTGCACATAAACGACTGTTCACCGGAATCCAATCAACCAACGATAACTCAGCCTTGGAGCTGAGAATGATACCTACACCAGCTTGACCGATGAGTGCCGCATCGGCGTCTCCGGATGCGTGCAACCAATAACGAGAGGATAAACCGGGTGCAGTCAATTCAATAACCCCGTTAGGGTCATTAATCCTAGTTTCGGACACACAACACACATCAACACCCAGTGTGTCCAAGGTGCGTGCGAGTGCAGCCTGCTGACCTGTTTGTCTTAGAGTGCGGACGTTGAAGGTCGCCATGGAAACGGGACAGCGTGGTCTTATAAGGGACTTTTGCCGATAGGCGTCCGATAGGTGCTGTGGGATGGTGGCTGCAGATGGTTCTACTCCAGTAGCACTTCGGTTGCTGTCAATTAAGCTGGGAATTATAGAAGGAAGGTTAGTAATGGGGGCCGGGATGGGAGTAAGAGAAAAAGGTGGAAAAGAAAGAAGGGAGGCGCCAGCAGTAGCATGCTTTCGCTTATCCGCCCTGCTGTATGCAGCAGATAAGGCGACCCTTGATAATCTGTGCGACGGCCGATGCAGGATGAAATTTATGTTTGAAGAAAATGTCATGGTTGTATGTGGGCTGGGATACTGCCAGGGCGCCCAGACCTAGACAGGAGAACGATTAGGGTCCTCATCCAAAGCCTTTGGCTCAAAAGCCTGTCCGCAAGGCAGCGGGGTGGCAGTGATTTAGTTTTACAGAAATGGACGCCATCCCATTTCAAACCTCCTAACCTGGAGGACCAGGAGACTGAGTTTGTCTGACCTCTCACCATTGACCAACCTGGTAGGAGTAGCTCTGAAGATGCTCGGAGGCATCACCCAGTATAGCTCAATGGGTCAATGAGGTACGCAAACCGTCGCACCACGTTAAGGTCCAGTCTCGTTGCGACGGATTAAGTTTTAAGAGTTTCCAAATCTTTCCCCATGTCGAACAACCTGCAGTACGTTGCAAGAACTGCTGTACCTTTTTCCCCAGATCGCCCTTTAAAATGCGTCTAGTACAAATCAGATCCTCACGGCGACAGCGGTAGTCTAGGTAAGATAAGTTCATATGCTGGAGACAAAGAGGATAAGGTAAAAGAGGTGGCATGGACCCAGACAGATCCGCGCCCTAAACCTTCTCGATCAACTCACATTCAATTTTCGTGAGTGTGTGTCTTCTAGTATTGGACGAACATGGGAGGAAAGTGGGAGTCTGGAGGTCTCCGGTGTCATGGCATGGAGCATCCTTTTGGCAGAGGCCACCTTCGCACCGTGTCCTGTGTTGTTCTTAACTCTGGTAAAACAATTACACCCAAATCCCTCTCACAAGCCACATTCTTCAGCAGAAAACCACCAATGTGGTAGGCACCGAAAGGTTCTTGAGCACCCATAGGGAGAATACAGCACTTACCACGAT